TACCATCATCACAAGTCTCATGTGCTCCTCCCTCCTTCTGACACCCCTCCTTTGCCCTCCCCTGCAGGATGTCTCTGGTTTATAATTATCTATTTGTTTTTGTTGTGTTGTGTTTTATAATGTTATTATTTTCCAAATGTTATTATTTGGTTCTCCTATATTCCTCCGATAAGTAAAACCACCCAATGCTTTTCTTTTTCCTTCTGACTTATTCCACTGAGCATGATTCCTTTTAGCTTTATTCAGGTTGCTGCAAATAGCATGAATTTATCTTTTTTGAATGCCGAGTAGTATTCCACTGTGTATATGTACACATATTGATCCAATCGCCTATTTTGGGGCATCTGGATTGTTTCCAGGTTTTACCTATTGTAAATAGTGCTATAATAAACATAGGGGTGCAAGTGTCCTTTTGAATTAATATTTTTGTATCCTTTGGGTAGATTCCTAGGAGTGGGATTCCTGGGTCAAATGATAGCTCCATTTTTAGTAGTCTGAGGAACCTCCATAAGGCTTTCCATAGTGGCTGTACCAGATTGTACTCCCACCAGTAATGAAGGAAAGTTCCTTTTTCACCACATCCTCACCAGTATTTGGTGTTGCTAGTTTTTTTGATATCACTATTCTTGTAAGTGTAAGGTGGTATTTCATTGTGGTTTTGATTTGCATTTCCCTGATTACAGTGATGCTGAACACTTTTTCATATACCTGTTGGCCACTTGCATCTCCTCTTTGGAGAAATAAGTGTCTTTTAAGTTCTTTCGCCTATTTCTTCAGTGGATTGTTTATTTTGTTTTTGCTGAGTCGCATCCCACATGAAGTTTCTGATGATTTTTTCCATTTTTACTAAAAATTGCCAATTAAGTTCAAAAAGGTTTTATACCTTTTGAATACCATGAGCACTGAACTATCTGGATTTTATGAAACAAATTTCATGATGTTAATAATCTCTTGTGTTAATATGCATGAATATGTATGAGTCAAGTAAAACAATGATTTGTCAGAAAGATTACAGTTAGGCAGACCGGGTTTGAAACTGGGGTTTTGACTTAGATGACTTACCTAACAGCTCTCAGTTTTTTCCCTAGCAAAAGTGGAATAACCCCCTTTTTTTTTAATAAGGATTAAATTAGGTGTATAAGCAAAGCACTTAGAACTGTTCTGGACTTTAACAAATGTTTTATAAGTGGTAAGTATATTACTAGTACTGTTACATGAATAACATTTGTGTTTGTTGATTAGAAAGTAGGTTTATATATGTTAATACAACTTGTCTTCACAGTAGTCACAGTAGTCTTAGGACAGAAATGACTCATCCTTTGTCATACAGTATGTAAGTGGTAAAATTGGCATTTACACTAAGCTTGTCACAATGTAATGCTAGGTAACCACTTTTCTACTATGTGTCTTTTATATTTATATTGTAATTATCTCACAACAATTAAAACAGTGATGATATTACATACAAAACTATGAAATACAACTAAATATTTGGTTTTTCTATTGGAGGCTCAGTATAAATATTGTCAAATCATTTTTCTTTTTTATAGAGCTCTATATGGATAAAACATAAAGAATCTCTATAAGTATGTATTGATAATTTTAATTAGAAGATAAGCCTACTTAAGCAGGAGTATGTTAAATGACAAGAAATTAATAAATATTTTCATAAAAATTACAGTTCACCAGTCTCATAGTTCAAATAATAATACAAATCAATCTTTTGGCTACATATGTAAATCAATGTAAATATGTAAAAATTTGGTTTGAAATTAACTTTCCCCACTAAAAAATACCTACTTTTTGAAATTCCAACTGAAAGGCTGGAAAATCCAACTACAGGATTAGAAAGGTATTTGTTGTATAGAAATTACTCATAAATTTCCTAATTTGCTATTTTAACAAAGAAGAATTCTACATGTACCTTCAGATGGAATCTGTATTTTAATGCAAAAGTAGCATGCCTCAAGACTCAGAATAGGACAAAGACCTATAAACACATTTAAAAAGCATACTTCTTGGTTTCTAGGTATCCCTGGTGGTAGAGGGGTTAAAGACACAGGGCTCTGAAGCTACCACCAGGCACTGAAGCACAAGTTCAATTCCTGGCCAGGGAGCTGACCACATGACACAGCAGACCACCCTGTTGCAGCACCCATTATTCCCTCAGCAGTTTATTTTAGTGCATCTGCCTATTCTGTTCCCCACTCTGTCTCTGGTGAATCCTCTCACCCTCCGACACCTTTGGCCTGTACCCCAGTTCTTGTTTGCATAAATAAATAAATTTTTTTTAAAAACCAAAAGCATACTTCCTGGTTTCTACTAAATAAAAATGTCAAATATTAAACAGAAATACAGATACCAAAAATAATATTACAAATTGCCAAAATCTTATGGGGAACTTATTTAGATAGGCCTTCACCATAATTTTATTTTTAGCAGTTCTACTCCTAATTCAGTAGCAAACATTATCATTTCATCACTGTATGATACAATCATAGGTGATTCACTTTGTATTATTTCATTATCTGTAAGATCAACTTCTTTCTTCTGGGTTTCAGGGTAAATGAATTAATAAATTTATACTTATAATAGTCATGATTTTTTTATAATACAATTTCACTGAATAACATTAAAGTACATGGAACATTAAGTTGCAAGAGTTTACCACATTAAAGTAAATAAACAAAAGTTATTAAAAATGATTTTATCCAAACAGAGTAAATCAACATATTCCCAAAGAACAAAACAGAAAAAGTGATAAATGTAATTTCAACCTATCCTCAAATTTTAATTTACATTTTAAAATATTTTTTCTATTTGAGGAAAATTAATGCAAAATAACTTTGACATTACCTCCTGTCCTGATACTGTCACATACTGTATAGAAGGATTTTTTAGTATTTTTCGTATTTCTTGCAAATGTATTTGGATTTTGTCAGTAACTTCTTTAATTTCATCCTTCCTCTTTTTTATTAAAGGGAAATCAGAAAGATCTTTGAACAATTCTGTTTTATCACCAATTCTAAAAAATAAAAAAAATACAGATACATAAATTGACGCATTTATTACACCAGTCATCAAATATTTTTCCTAACATTATAAAAGACCAAAGGGTTGGAAGTCAAGAGAACAAAGTTCCAATTTTAGCTCTGCAATTATGGGTAAGCATCTTAATCTCTTAGAAGGCAGTCAAAATAATTATTCTGACATCATTTTTCTTTTTTTTGGTAAAATGATAATTCCCACAGTGACACCAAGATAAACTTATTTGTTATTATAGTGAAACCAATAAAATTATTTGTTATTTGCCCATCTGAGATAAATATAACTATATAAATACTGTTAATCTTTATATGTGTGGCAAGCATGTGTTCATTGTGAAATAACTGCAAAATAACTACCTTTTACAACTTCTATAACTTTGTTTCTGCACTTTCTAAAATTAAGACCAACCACCCCGATATATCTAGCAAGTGTGGACAAGATTACATCTGATTATTTTTAGAATAATAAATTACCACTTCTTGCACCGTGTGGACTTAATTATTGTATCATCTAATACTTGGGGAAGTAGTACATCTGTCCTACATGATAGAACTGCCTACATTTTAGAGAACAAAGTGTTACGTCCAGTAATAATACAGAACTTTCCATACCTAATCACATTTCTAATTTCACATGCAAATTCTATCACTACTTCCAGGAAGCTTAAGAATCCACACATCAAATGGCAACTGTATCAGATTACTTTCACTGCTTCAAAAAACCCAAAGGTCTGCTACTTACTTGGCAGCCTGTTCATTAAGTATCTTTAAGTAATCCTCCACTGGACTGAGAAATTCAGGAATTTCTAAAATCAATGTCCGAAGCAAGTCTGATTTGACATGGGAACTAACAGCAGGTACTAATGCTTGAAATTCTGACTTCACATGATAAAGAGTTTTGACAATCAAGAAGAACTCTTGGGTAGAACACTGAAAACAGAATTTTTTCAGTTAAATAGAATAAGATACATGAAAATGAAGTTTAATTAGTATTCTTTTAATGTTAGAATTAAAAATTAAATTTTTACTTATTTTATAAACAGGTTAAATAAATACTGATAACATCTAAACATTGTCAACAGTTTAAATACTATATAAAATATTACATTAAAGCTATAAAGAAAATGCTTTAAGGCAGGGATAGTAAATACATGTCCAATACTTTTTCACTTTAAAAAATGCACTGACCACATAGCAAATATATAGTAAACAATGTCAAAAATACAAAGGACACTTCTGAGAAAATATGTCATATTAAGACATATGAATAGGTTAATAGAAACACACCAAGTTTAACATATATTAAATACACATGTTTATATGATATACATATAGGCATTTATATAATATAATTTAATTTGTGATTCTGTATATATATATGATTCTATATGAATTAAAATAAAAAAACAAAATTTCTAGAAGGGATATATAGAGATGTTTATCTCTGTCTAGTGTGTATAGGGAAAGGGGAACAGAGGCAGAAATTTTTACTCTTAATTTTATGCCCTTCTATATTGTTTTAACTTTTTAGCATGAACTATTTTTACAGTGGAATTTCTGTACAAAGCAAGTACACTGGACAATCTCACTCTTTTTGAAACTATAGTCAAAGGCTGTATTAAAAAGCATACAGTCACGGGGCCCTCCCTGGTGGAGCAGCGGGTTAAAGCACAGCACTAAGAAGCTAAAGTCACTTCTGCATGAGTTCGATTCCCGCCTGCCCCGGAGGTGACCACATGGTGCGGCAGACCTCTCCTGACCCGCCCGCTGCTCCCCTCAGCAGTGTACTTCCTCAATCTGCCTGTTCTGTTCCCCACTGTCTCTGGTGAAGGCTCTCACCGCCCCTAAGCCTCTGGCCTGTACCCCAGTTCTGTATGCACAAATAAATAAATCTTAAAAAAAAAAAAGCAAAATCTTAGAAGTTATAAAGTAAATGTAAAAGTTGTAACTGACTTAGAATAGGAGAAATACTTGTATTTTAAATTAACTGTGACAATAACTAGGACCCAACCTGAGTTACAGAAAGAATCTTAAAAGACTCAGGAACTGGTGGCATAAATTATCTTTGGAAGGAGAAACTGGGTGGGAGGAGAGAGAATGATTATTTTAAAATTATTTAAGAAGCAACTAAATCCCTCAACTCCCTTTTCCTCTCCATACCATTAAACTACCACTCTCCCACCCTACAAAAGAGCATTTTTATTCTCTGCCATAGCGAAGAACAAAAGTATCACCAAAAACAAGGAATTAAAGGAAAGACTGCAAACGGAATGCTGAAATTCCCATTCGTTCCTATGTAGTTCCCAAAATATTGTTAGCCAGTAATGAGGCTAATAAGTATCCCTGAGGAATCTCAGAAGCCCAAGAGGAAACTTCTAACCATAAGGTAACAGGAATTATCCCCCCAAAATGGACCAGCTAGTTTACTCTAGCTAGTTTACTCATATTTTGAAAATTTCCAACTATGTAGACTATCCTAATAAGTATATTAAGGTTTCACACTTAAAAAAAATCAGGCATCAGATAAAATATTCTAATATCAATGCATAGACCAAAACAATTAATCAATAAAAACTGAAGGGAATTATAAACCAATGTTGCCACAATAAAAATTTATCTTCACAGCACACACACACACATATACCCACCCAGATGGAATCAGAGCCTCTATAGGTAGTAGAAAATTTCTAAAAACATAATCGCCAGTTATTTTATAATCTCCAGTTTTACAGAACACAGAATACTGCAACTATGAAAGCAACACGGGATGCTGTTTTTTTTTTTTTAAAAAAAAGGAACATTCAGAGAACAAGAAAGCAACAACTTCTTGGAAATTAAACAACACTAATAGAAAAACTCCAACAGAGTAAGAGGGAGATAAAGGTGATGAAATTTCCAAGAAGATAAAGCAAAAATGAGATGAAAAATACCAAAGGTAAAAAAGTTATCAAAAATGTAAATCAGAAAACTTCACAGAATTTAAGGATTTACTTTGTCAGATTCAAAAATCTCAACATAACACATGACAACAGAACCCAATCAAGGTGACTCATCATGAAATAGTAGGACACTGGGAACAAAGAGAAAATCAGTTTTCAGATTGGGGGGACAAAGATAAGGAAAAATAAGCGCACAAAGAGTCAGGAATTAGAATGACTTCAGACTTCTAAACAATAGCAGCAGAAGCTAGAAGACAACTGAGTACCACAGCTGTAACTACCAATCAAATGTGAGAGCAGGAGGAATGAGACATTTCCAGACATCAGTGCTTCAAAACATTTACTTCTACGACATCTCAGAGTGCCTCTAGAGGATGTACTCTGCCAAAGTGAAGTTGAAAAAACCAGGAGGAAGACATGGAATATAGAATCTGTTGATTCCATTTAAAGGAAATAAAAGGAATCTCAGAAGGAAGTTATATAACAATTAAGATGGTAACTAGTTCACACCAGATTTTACCATAAGGTTCAACAAAATATAATTAATAGGATAGTTGATGAAAATATCTTGACATGAGCAGATCATTTAAGGACTGAGTTAACGTAAGTACACAAAATTATATATATAAAATAGATTAATGCTAATGTATTTACAAAAATCAATTATTAACTACAAGGACTGAAATCAATATGCAGAAAAATAAGAGTCAGATGCAAGTGAACAAAAGCTGAGTTCAAAGTATATCCCAAATACCTCTTCTGCAGAAGGTTATTGTATACCAGAAAAGCTGTATATATAAAAGTGAAGCCTAGGAAATTTTGGCTAATAGTTGAAACACTCTAACAAAAGTAAAGAACTAAAAATAAACATTTTTAACATAATTTCAGAAACTCTCTTATAATTATTGTAATTTGCTAAGCAAAAGAAGAAATTGTATTTATAATGTAACATTTAATTCAACAGAAGCAGAGTGAAAACCATGTGCTTTGCAGTCAAGTCCTAAGTGCCCCAAACAAGTTATTTTTAAGTTGCTTTGGCAAAACAACTAACAAGACAACTAACAATAAGGATAAAGTAGTTACTCCTGCAATCACTCATATTCAACCCCATTTCTGGCAGCAAACTTCTCTGTGGGCTTTAGAACAGTCACCAGGGCAGCAGCAGGCCATTACAGAATTGGAAGAAGCTAGCCTAAGTTCCACGCAAAGACGTAGCTTTGAGCTTCTACTGTCTAGACAAGAAACTACTCTCACCTACAAATTTTTGGAAACACTCTCAACATTTACCAAGTGCTATTATCCTTTACATTTATTCACCAACCTTACAAGTTAATGTATTACTTTCTTACAAAACAGTTACTGATCCAAGCTAATATGAGTTCCTGTGTTTGGTGGTATTTTCTAAGACATGAAAGTTCTGCTGTCAAAAAATGTTGATTTTATTTTAGGGTAGGCCCACTTGGTATTCTCTATTATTATCATCTAAAAATAACTAATTTGTGCCTATTCCATGGCACTTTCCATAGAACCATATGGCCTCAGCTTCCATTTTCACAACATCCAGTGTTCCTTACCATGTTATGAATTTCATATAATTGGCACAATCTGTACCCACAATGACACTCACCATTTGGTGCATACAGCAGAAGCTTATTTAGAGTAATCTAATGATAAAGGACAGACATGTGCTTGATGGTCCTTGAAAAACTAATCTATAAAATTTGGTTTAAAGCAGTGAGTCTTCCAAAAATTGGTTTGTTACCAAATCAGTTCTAATATTTACTTTTCAAACCAATTTTTAGACATACTTTGTGTAAACATTAAAACAGGACTTGGAACAGCCACTTAGTGAATCAAGCCCCTTTCGTGAAGTAGATCTTAAAACTACAAAGTAAGTCATTCTTGCCTTATCTATTAGTTGCTTTTAAAAGAATTCGATTCTATACCATATGAGCTCACTTTTATGTGAAACCTAAGAAAAGTCAAGTCTGAATGCGTAATACAGAGAATAGATAACTGCAGAAGGGAGTGGGGAAAGGAATGAATAATGTGGGTCAAAAATGACAAACTTCCAGTTATAAACAAGTAAGTTCTGGAGAGGGAATGCACAGCATAGATAGCAACAATGTTGTATATTTGAATATTGCTAAGACAGAAGATCTCAAAAGTTGTCATCACAAGAAAAAAACGTAACAAATGTGTAATGGCTATTAATTTGACTTACACATTGCGATCAATTTACAACATACACATATAGCAAATCATGTTGTACCCCTGAAACTAATGATATGCCAATTATATCTTTAAAAAAGAAATAAGATTTGTTTGAAACATTGTAAATCTTTTAAATACACAAACTTTATGCAAACATCAAAGCAAAGCTTAAAGAGAAGCTGAAAGGCATCACAGAAACCACAGTATGAAATAAAGCTGTCAACCTGATGTCACTGATACTTTAACTCTACTGTTAATTAGCAATTAATAGTATTTTCAGTTTTGTTCCTATTTCTTTTTAAGAAAAGCAAAGATCTCTGACATTTGTCATTAAACCCTTTCAAGCAGTAAAGACATACTGCTTGGCGATTTACTGCTTAATGGTGGGTACTACACTTTGATTAATAAATAAACCTTTAGCAACTTCAGAAGTCATTCACATACATTAAACTCTTTGTTGCTCATAAAAATTCAATATATTGAGAAGATACTTTGTCACCCTTTACTGATGGGCCAAGGATACAAAGTAACAAATGACTAAAAGCCAATTCTGCAACATCAAAAAAAAAGTCAACCATAAAACCTTCATCACATGGTTTCTCTCATAGCAGGAATATAACAGACCAGGCAAGAAAATAATGATAATGATGAACAGCTATATACCAGAGACATTTTGTGGGGGTGAAGTGGGGAATGGGATCACAAACAGTGGGGGGAGGGAAATGCACTGGACTATGGTGATGACACATGGATGATTTGGTGATGGGAAACCCAAGGGGATTGCAACTGAGATGGAAAAATGCACAAAATGATGTAAAAATAAACTATTATATATAAATAAAAAAAAAAAAACCTTCATCACAGCTTCTACTATTGCAAAAACCAAAACAATGCATGCAAGTAATGGCAGAAGACTCCATAAGCAACTCATAAATTTCCATCCAAAGGATTAGAATTCCCAACTCTGGCTTGTTCTTTGCTTTCAATTTTAGCTAAAACATATGGAAGGCTTATATAAATCAGCTTGGGGACTGCTATTATTCTCAGAATAATACTTCATTTTAGTATAGTTTTATGAGGGGATAAGATCTAAAAAAAGTAAAAACTATAAAAAATTGGTCACAACTAAAATTCAGGCACATAAAATATTTTCTATAAATTATGATATTAGCAAAGATTTATATTTGGGCTAACTATAAAACTGGTGTGGCCTCCCTGATGGTGCAAATAGTTAAAAGCACAGCACTGCAAAGCTGTCAGCAGCTGCTTCCACAGGAGTTCCATCCCAGCCAGGGAGGTGACCCACATGATGCAGCAGACCTCTCCTGTCTTGCCTGCTGCTCCCCTTAGCAGTGTTTCATCAATTTGCCTGTCTCTGGTGAATCCTCTCACTGTCCCATACCTCTGTCCTGTACCCAGTTCTGTATGCATAAATAAACCTTTAAACATAAATATATATATATTTAATCTGTTGATGTAGCGATGAGGAGAAAATGCAATGGTAGTCAAACTGTTACCTCAAAAATGGTAGTGTACAAAGAGTGACTAAAAACCCAGTCAAGAACTCAGGTTTAAATATTAAATCTCTCTGAGCATTATATTAACCAAGGTATTGCAAACTATTGTAGCTATAATGTGTGTGTGTGTGTGTGTGTGTGTGTGTGAGAGAGAGAGAGAGAGAGAGAGAGAGAGACAGACAGACAGACAGAGAGACAGAGACAGAGAGAGAGATAGAGAGAGACAGAGTACACAGGCATAAAAGTTTCTTGTCAACAAGAAGGTGATAAACATAGTATCTTTCAGTAAAGTATTTAGAGGGAACAAAGATTCCAATGCATGTGAATAACTTTTGCAACAGGAAAAAAGTATAACATGTTTACTAATTGAGAAGTATAAATATGTAACTATAATTAATTTTACCCTTTTTTTTTAATATGATGGAAAAAAATATAATTAGCCAGCTAGATTCAGTTTGGGGAACACTGATTTTACTGGCAACATGAAAAGATCAGGGGTTGACCTTGACCATGTCAATGTTACAGAACCTCTTCACAGACTGATCTGGTGCTCATTGTCCCGTTTATTGGCCACAATGAACACAAGTCATCTATCTTCATGATTGACATTGTTAAGATAAACAGAAAAAGACATTTTATAATATGGAAAGATATTCCCTGCTCATGGATTGGAAGAATTAACATTATTAAAGTAGCCATCTTACCTAAAGCAATACACAGATTCAGTGCACTTCCTACCAAAGATTCAGTGGCATTTTCCACTAAACAAACATTAATAAAATTTATATGAAACCACTAAAGACACCCAAAAGCCAGGAAATTCTAAAATATAATAACAACAATAGGACAAAAACAGCAGTATCACACTCCCAGATTCAAACTATAATAAAAACTATAGTAAGAAAAATAGCATGGCATGAAAATAAAAATAGACACAGACCAATGGAACAGAATTAAAAGCCAGAAATAAACCAAACTTACATGGATGGCTAGTCCATCACTAAGAAAGAGTCTCTTCAACAAGTGGTATAAGGAAAACCAGACAACCAAATACCCAAAAGAAAGAAACTACACTATTATCTTACACCACACACAAAAACAAACTCAAAATGGACTAAAGAGTTGGCTTAAGGAACTTGACTTCAACAGCAAGGCAGTAAAAGAAAAAACAGACAAATGGAACTACAGCAAACTAAACACTTTTTCACAGCAAAAGAAATTATTAGAACAGAAAGATACCTTACAGAATGAGAGAAATTTCATACCTGTAGATCATGTATCCAAGGAGGCTAATATCCAGGACCTACAAAGAACCCATACAACTACCCACAAGAAATAACCTAAACAAAAACTTCTGCAAAGAAGTATGAATAGCCAACAGGCACACACACATACACACAAAATGCTTTTCATCACTTTTTACAAAGGAACTGCAAATCAAAACTATAATGAGATACCATCTCATGCCCATGAAAATGGGGCATTAAAAAAAAAAAGTTCAAAAAAAAAAAGTCCAGACACAAGAAACACGGATGATAAATATGGATACAAAAGAACTCTCATGCACTACTGTGAGAACATAAGCTGGTCCATCCACTATGGAAAATGGGTTTCTCCAGTCTATCACAGGATCCTGCATTCCTAGTCTTGGGTATCTACTACAGAATGCAAACACAC